CAAAAATACTCAACAAAATATTAGTAACCAAATTCAAAAATACATCAAAAAGATCATCTATCATGATCAAGTAGGATTTATTCCAGGGATGCAAGGATGGTACAATATTCGCAAATCTCCACCACATCAACAAAAAGAAGGACAAAACCACATAATCTCCATAGATGCTGAAAAAGCATTTGAAAAAATTCAACATCCATTCATGATAAAAACTCTCAACAAAATGGGTATAGATGGCAGATACCTCAACATATTAAAGGCCATATATGACAAACCCACAGCCAACATTATACTTAACAGCGAGAAGCTGAAAGCTTTTCCTTTAAGATCGGGAACAAGACAAGGATGCCCACTCTCCCCACTTCTATTCAACATAGTACTGGAGGTCCTAGCCACGGCAATCAGACAACACAAAGAAATAAAAGGCATCCAAACTGGCAAGGAAGAAGTTAAAGTGTCACCGTTTGCAGATGACATGATATTGTACATAAAAAACCCTAAAGAATCCACTCCAAAACTACTAGATCTAATATCTGAATTCAGCAAAGTTGCAGGATACAAAATTAATATGCAGAAATCTGTGGCATTCCTATATACTAACAATGAACTAGCAGAAAGAGAAATCAGGAAAACAATTCCATTCATAGTTGCATCAAAAAGAATAAAATAACTAGGAATAAACCTAACCAAGGAAGTGAAAGACCTATACTCTGAAAACTACAAGACACTCATGAGAAAAATTATAGAAGATACTAATAAATGGAAACACATCCCATGCCAATGGATAAGAAGAATTAATATTGTCAAAATGGCCACCCTGCCTAAAGCAATCTACACATTCAATGCAATTCCTATCAAAATACCAACAGCATTCTTCAACAAACTAGAGAAAATCATTCTAAAATTCATATGGAAACACAAAAGACCCTGAATAGCCAAAGCAATCCTGAGAAGGAAGAATACAGCTGGAGGGATTATGCTCCCCAAATTCAAGCTCTATTACAAAGCCACAGTAATCACGACAATTTGGTACTGGCACAAGACCAGACTCATAGACCAATGGAAAAGACTAGAGAGCCCTGATATAAAACCCAACCATACATGGTCAATTAATATACAATAAAGGCGCCATGGACATACAATGAGGAAATGACAGCCTCTTCAACAACTGATGTTGGCAAAACTGGACAGCTACATGCAAGAGAATGAAACTAGATTATTGTTTAACCCCATACACAAAAGTAAACACAAAATATATCAAAATATATCAAAGACCTGAATGTAAGTCATGAAACCATAAAACTCTTAGAAGACAACATAGGCAAAAAATCTCCTGAATATAAGCATGAGCAACTTCTTCCTGAACTCATCTCCTCGAGCACGGGAAACAAAAGCAAAAATGAACAGATGGGACTACATCAAACTAAAAAGTTTCTGTATGGCAAAGGACACCATCAACAGAACAAAAAGCCGTCCTACAGTATGGGAGAATATATTTGTAAATGACATATCCGACAAGGTATTAACATCCAAAATATATAAAGAACTCACATGCCTCGACACCCAAAAAGCAAATAACCTGATTAAAAAATGTGCAGAGGTATGAAGAGACAATTCTCCAAAGAAGAAATTCAGATGGCCAACAGACACATGAAAAGATGCTCCACATCACTAATCATCAGGGAAATGCAAATTAAAACCACAATGAGATATCACCTCACACTAGTGAGGATGGCCAGCATTGAAAAGACTAAGAACAACAAATGCTGGTGAGGATGCGGAGAAAGGGGAACCCTCCTACACTGCTGGTGGGAATATAAGCTAGTTCAACCATTGTGGAAAGCAATATGGAGGTTCCTCAAAAAACTAAAAATAGAAATACCATTTGACCCGGGAATCCCATTTCTTGGAATTTACCCAAAGAATACAATTTCTCCCTATGTTTATTGCAGCACTTTTTACAATAGCCAAGATATGGAAGCAACCTGAGTGTCCATCAGTAGATGAATGGATAAAGAAGATGTGGTACATATACACAATGGAATACTGTTCAGCCATAAGAAAGAAACAAATCCTACTATTTGCAACAACATGGATGGAGCTGGAGGATACTATGCTCAGTGAAATAAGCCAGGTGGAGAAAGACAAGTGCCAAATGATTTCCCTTATTTGTGGAGTATAAGAACAAAGCAAAACTGAAGGAAGAAAATAGCAGCAGACTCACAGATTCCAAGAAGGGACTAGTGGTTACCAAAGGGGAGGGATGTGGGAGGGTGGGTGGGGAGGCAGGGAGATGGGGATTAAGGGGTATTATGTTTAGTACACATGGTGTGGGGGATCATGGGGAAAACTGTGTAGCACAGAGAAGGCAAACAGTGAATCTGTGGCATCTTACTACACTGATGGATGGTGACTGCATTGGGGTATGGATGGGGACTTGATAATATGGGTAAATGTAGTAAACACATTGTTTTGTCATGTGAAACCTTCATGACAGTGTATATCAATAATATCTTAATAAAAAATTTTTTTAATTAACATTAGTAAGAAAGTTTAGAAAGATTATTTGAAACAAAATCAATATGCAGAAACAGATATTCTATAGAATAGAATACATCTTATTTCTATATTCCAGGGCAAGCAGTTAGAAATATTAATAAAAATTAATAAAAGGATTCTGTTTACTTACCATCAAAAATGTATCTAGGAAGGAACAGAACTATCAAAACATGTTTAAAATGTTCTATTTGTCAATCACATATCAGTACTTTAAGGCACACAAAAAATTTGATTTCTTGTTCTCACTCACTGAAACTCTGCTGTGTGTCTGGGTAATTATCCATGTAGCAGCTTGGCAGGCCAGGTTGCTTTGGTCCTGTGGCTCTGCCATCTTGATGTGAAGCATCCCCCAATAGCACCAAGGCAGGGTAAGAGCATGCTGGAGAATCCTACACTGGCAAGTGGATGCATTGACTTGAGGAGGATACATGTCAATTCCACTCACAACCTATTAGCCACATAGCTTTGCCTCATTGCAAGAGAGATGAGGAAGTATAATACCCCCATGTGTCTGGAAGAAATAGAAGAACTGGATATAGGTGGGCACAAGATGTCTCTAGCACAGACCTTAAGGAAGAAAACTAAAATACTGAGAGACATTAAAGAACTTCTATATAAATGGAAGCTGTAGCAGGTTTAAGAATTAAAAGATGCAATATTATAAGGGTACAAGTGGAGTCTTGATCAAAATCCCAATACATTTTTTAGTGGAATTTGATAACATGGTTACGTAGGGCTGCATATCAAATTATCCCAAAACTGAATGGCTTAAAAATCATTTTATTTTGCTCACACTTTTGTGGGTGAGGAATTCAGGAAAGAGTCAGCTGGGTAAGCCATTCTCAGAGTCTCTTATGTGGTTGCAGATAGGTGAAGACTGAAGAGCTGGAGTCATCTGAAGGCTTAAGGAGGTTGGAGATCTAAGGTGGCTCATCACAGGGTGCTGCTGATGCTGGCTGGAGGCGGCAACTCAGCTGGGGCTGTCAGCTGTAGAGCCTGCAGGTGGCCTGTCTGTAAGTTGGACTTCTCCCAAGATGGGGAGGGATAACCGGGAGGGATAACCTGAGAGGGAGTAACTTGGCAGAGTGTCTGTAGAGTGAGCTCTCCAGGAGACCAAGGTGGAAGCTGAGAGGCTTCTTCACAAGTTACACAGCATTACTTCCACCATAAATCACTAAGGCCAGTCAGATTCAAGGGGAAGATAAACAGACCACCTCTCAATAGGAGGCATGTCAAAGAATTAGTGGCCATCTTCAATTTGCCATATTTGATTAATGGATTCAAATTAGTTCAAAGGACCAAGAGTAGTCAAGATACCATTAAAGGAGAAAAAGAAAATGGGAGTACTTGCCCCAGCAGATATGACTTACTTTAAAGCTACAGTAATTAGGATAGTGTGATTTTGGCCCAGGTATAGACAAATAAACCAGGTTCCTTCTCTGTGTTTCCTTCAACACATGGCTTGTATCTCATATCCAAGATGACTGATCTAATGTCAGCCATAAGTTCTGCAGCCAGCAGGAAAGACAGTGGAAGATGAGAAGAGCATGCTCCTGTTTCATTAAGGATACTTCTAGAAACTGAGCACATCACCTCCACTTACATAGGCTAGAGCTTTGCAACATGGTCATACTTATTTCAAGGATGCTGGAAAATGTACTCTCTAGCTGGATAGCCTTTGCCCAGCTAGAACTCAAAGGAGTTCTATTACATATAGCCTACAAACACATGAAGAGATATCCAACATTATTAGTTATTAGGGAAATGCAAATCAAGACTGTAATATGATTCCACTTTACATCCTTCCAATTGGCAAAATTAAAAAGTCTGACAATACAAGGGTGGAAGAAGATATAGACCCACAGGATCTCTTTCACATTACTGGTTGGAGTATAAATGGTATAAACAATTTGGAAAACAGTTTTGTGTTATCTCCTAAAATCGCATAATTATGTGATTTTTCACTCCACGATTCCATGCCTAAGTAGATACTCAAGGGATATTCTTACATATACAAACACTCAAAAAGTGCTCATAGCAGCACAATTTATAGTAGCAGAAACTTGGCAACACCCCAAATATCCATCAATAAGGCAGCATGATAACTGTGGTATATTTACACAATGGAATATTATATAGCAACCAAGATGAATGGACTACAGCAATATGAACTGAATCATATTGATTTATACAACAATATAAGTGAACCTTACCAATATATATTCAGTGATAAAGGACAGCAGAAGACTACATAAGGCATTATATTCTTTCAAGTAAAATAACTAGAATCACTACAGCATCTTACTACACTGATGGACAGTGACTGTAATGGGGTGGGGGGGGGGGACTTGGTGAAGGGGGGAGCCTAGTAAACATAATGTTCTTCATGTAATTGTAGATTAATGATAGCAAACAAACAAAAAAACTGTCAAGGTCGTGAAAAATGCGAAAAGCCTGAGAAACTGTCACATGCCAGGAAAGACTAAGGGGACGTGGTGGCCAATGCGATACGGCACCTTGAGCTGGATCCTGGGAAAGAGAAAGATCATCAATGCAAAAACTGGTAAAATCCAAATAAAGTCTGGAGAATAGTTACTAGTAAAAAAATAAAAATAAAAAAGAACTAGAATCATATATGTATATATAATATGTATACTTTGAAGGGATGTCTAAAGATGCAAAATAATATATAAAGGAAAGCAATGAATTAATGGACATGAGATGCAGGATTATAGCTGTCTTGGGTGGGGAGGAGCAGGGGGTATATTGGGGAAATCATGTTAAGATGTAGTGTATTGTCAAGTTCTAGCTTTTGTTTGGAGGGTGGTATTATTATAGGTGCTTATTGCCTATTGCTAAAGTACTTAGCTAATTAATAAATTAAACAAAAGCAGACTACACAGGGACCAATAAATGAGAATATGTCATGATCTGGGGAATGTGTTTAATCTGATTTGGCATATATAAGGTCTAAGAAAGAGGAAGAGAAAGAGGAAAAAAGCACATCTATATCAACAATAAGAACAAAAAAAGAGAAAGACAGATTTGAGTTACAATAGCAAGAAAAGCTATAAAGAATCTAGGAATCAACCTAACAGTGAATGTATAAAACTATTCTGGAGAAAAAAAATATTTAGACTATTGAAGGACATAAAGTAAAACCTGGGAAATAAATACAGCATGTTCATGGAAGAGAAAATTTAACATTGTGAGGCCATTTTCTCCAAACTACTCTATAAATTCAATGCAATTTCTGTTAAAATGCCAGCAAAATTTTTTCTAAAGAATTCAACAAACTTATTTGCAATTTTATATGAAAGAATAAATGTCAGTTTTGAAAAAGAAAATCAAATATGGACAACTCACCCTTTCAGGTAATCGAACAGACTGCAAAGCTGGAGTAATAAAATCAGTGTAGCATCAGCACACAGTCTAATAACATGACCTAAGAGAACTCAAACACAACATAAAACATTAAAAAGAACTCAAAGTTTACATATGATAAAGATCACAAATCAGGGAAAGAGCATTGTTTAATAGATGAGGTTATCTCACTAATTGGGGAAAAACAAGGTTGGATCTTGTATTAGTCTGCTTGAGCTGCTATAACAAAACACCACAGACTGGGGGGCTTAAACAACAGAAATTAATTTTCTCATAGTTCTGCAGGCTGGAAGTCCAAGATCAATGTGCCAGCAAGAAGCAGGGGGTGGGGAGAGAGCACTATGGTGTTTTCCTTTTCTTAAAAGGACAGCAGCCTAATTGGATTAGAGCCCCACATATGACCCCATTTAATTTTAAGTCCTTCCATAAAAGCCCCAAATACAGTTATATTGGGGATTAGAGTTGCAACATATGAATTTTAAGGAGACAATTCAGTCCATAAGAGATTCTTTCCTCATACCATATATAAAAGTAAATTCCAGATTGATTAAAGACTAGATATTAAAAATAAAGCTGGAATATTAATAAAAGAAATGAAGATGTGATCTGGGAGTGGGAAATTCTTCCTAAACAAGATCCAAAAGCACAAAATATAAGGAGAAAGTTTGATGAATTTAACCACATCAAAATTCAGGATTTCTTTCAATGAAGCTCACCACAGATAAAGCTTACAAAAAAGTTTATAGTACAGTGGCCACATATAAAACCCACCTGACAATGAGCTTATTACCTAAAATATTAAAATGAATTCATGAAAAATCAATAAGAGAACAGAAAATCCAACAGATTATTGGCCAAAGGCTATGAGCAGGCAATTTGCAGGAGGGGAAACAATAGCTTTCAGGTATATGGAGAGATGCTCACCTGTTGATAATCAGAAAAGTCCAGTGTGAAATGGTGATACCACTTTATAGTTATGTTCCATCAGATTGGCAAAAATGAGAAGGATGTATCATTACAGGTGTTGACAAGGATGTAGGGAGGCTTTTATGCACTGTTGGAGGGTATGCTGCAAAATGATCAATCTGACAGCACGTGATCAATAAACGTGTAGGGAGGAAGGGCAGAGAAACAGTGGATGCAGGTGTGATGGCTCTGACACTCCAAAGCCCCTCCCTGAAACCAAGAAAGAAATCTCCCATGTGAAGGGTACCCTATCTGTATAAGGTAGATATACATCCTTATGGCCAGAGACAGGGAATTCAGAGCTGAGAGGGCTTCATAAACAAATCTTGTTACTTTTTTTACTAATGTACTACCCAAGGGTAAATGCTGAATAGAATTCCTTACTAATTAAAGCTCCCAAACCTAAATTTTCTTTGTCCTGTCAATTCCTGACTGATTTGTCTCTTTTGTCTAAAATGTATAATAACTGCCTGCCTTGGTCATTTCTTTAGGTTCCAATTTCATTACTGGGCCTCTATGTATGTAATAAAGCTTTGTTCTCTTCTCCTGTTAATCTGTCTCATGTCAATTTGATTCTTAGGCCAGCTAGAGGAACCTTGAAGGGTAAGAGGAAAATTCTTCTTCCCCAACACATGGTGTCCATCCCTATCACCCAGTGGTTTCAGAAATGCCCCCCTGCAGGTCCACAACTAGATATGTACAAGGATGTTCACTGCGGCATTCTTTGTAGTGGCAGGAAGTTGGAGGCAACCTAGGTGTCCATCTCTAGAAGACTGCATTCCAAACGGATGCACCAGTGGAATTCTATGCAACAGGAAGAAGAGGGAGAAAATAAAGAGGTAATAAGGTTTACCCCACATCTTTTACCAAGAGAGCAATGATTTTTCCAGGAGCCCTACCCATTAGACTGCTGTTTGAATTTCATTGGCCAAAACCATTCCTTGGTCATGCCTAAAAGGTGACTAGAGAGAAGGGAGTTTATAGATAGCGACTGTGTCCTCTAGTAAGTGATGTCTAACACATAATCTAGTAGACTTATTCTAGCTGCTACATAGAATTTCAAAGAGTGCATTTACCACATTTTACTCTGATGGCTAGAACTGGAGCAGCTATCTTGTGACCATGAGGAAAATTCAAGAGAAGGTCCTTACATCCTCAAATTATAGCAACACCAACAGCTTCTTATCTCTGAACTTTTTATCTTGTACGAAGAACAACTCTCTATTCACTTAAGTCACTTGTGTCTGTTAGGGTTCAACTGCAGACAACCGAAATATATCTGGCTAGTTCCAACATAAAGGGGTGGTGAAATAAGCTCTAAGTCCAGGAACAACTACCAGCTATGAGAGGCACATGATCTCTGCATGTGATCAGGGAAACAACAGTCACTACTACAGGAAGCTGATGAATCAGGAAGCTGCTCACCAGAAGCCCCACTGTATCTGTTGTGATCTGTGACAGCAAAACAGATGTCTCATGGTATTTAGCTGTGCTCCAAATTTATATCTTACACAAGAGCAGAACCTAAATCACAGAATCCTAGCTCAAAGGAATCTGGGAAGTGTCATTTTAGTTTCCAGATTCAGCAGTTCAAAAGAAACCCTAACAGGAGTTTTGGACTGATGTTGAGAAGCCAGTCAATGGCAGCCACCACACTACCAGGGTCAGTTTTTGGTTACTTAAAACCAAAGGGACTCCTAACTGATACACTGCACAGAAAGCAACAAGGAGAGACTTCAAAAACAGTAGTAAGTGGAAAAAAAAAAACTGAGTGAGCTATGTAACACAATTTTAGGGTGTTAGTCAAAACATACACAAAATCAACACTACCTTTTTCAATGAAATGTACCTTTTCAAGGACATATAAGTGCTTCATGGTAAAGCGAAGGAGAACAGACTGTGGGGATCAGGCACTAAAAGAAATAAACCAAACAAAGTAAAATGAAACAGGGGTGAGATCTAGTATGTGATGATGGTAGGAGTGATATAAACAGAGGAGTATGATTGGATTAATTTTCCTCACCTGAGTCCAAAACCAATCCATTATATGTAATATTTAATATTAATTTTAAAGTAACTTAGTAATAACTTAAGTTATAAATTTAAATACTTAGATAAAATAATTCTAATATTAATTTTAATTTAAATGTATCATGTGTAATTTACTACCCCGAAATTGGTCCACTAAACCTAATATATCATAATTTCTGTACTTCTAGTTAGGCAATTCTTTTTGTTTTCAGTTCCCTAGAACCTCAAAATGTAGGTCCTGGTGACCCCCGGCCGCGCTCCCTGCCCCGCCGGTCCCAGCTCCTCCTTAGAGGTCCGCACTGGTGCCTCTCCCACCGCCACCGAGCCCCGCCGAAGGGGAAGGGGCCCCAGGCTTTCAGGCCTGCGGTCGGGGCCCTCAGGGCCCACGCACCCTCGAGGGGTCGGTCTCGGGGCAGCTGGCCCCCCAGGGCGGAAGGCGAGCGCCTCTCGGCGATCTTCCCTGCAGAGCCGTCTGTCTGCTCGGGGCGCAGCCGCCGGGCCTCGGGCCGCCCGCGCGGAGCACGCTGGGGGTCGCGTCGTCGGCTCCCAGGGGAGTGTGCTCGCCCCGCCCGCCCCCCTCCCGGCTAATTCGGCTTGATCCTCTCAGCCCCGGGCTGTTCCCGGCAGCCCTTCCCTAGGTCCAGCCATCTGTCTCCTGCGTTACTTCTTGGGGAGAAAGAGTCCACTTTGGGTCGCTCCAGAGAGCGGGTGAGTGTGCCCCAGGGAGTGCGGGCGTGCCGTGAGAGCCTCCAGACCCCGCGAGAAGACCGCCCTCTCCTTGGAGCACACAGGGAACCCCCTCTGCCCTGCTAGGGCTCCTGACTCTCAGCCTCCCGACCCAGAGCTCGCCCTGTGTCGGCGCGGTTGGGGCCGGACACCCCAGGGGGAAAAAGCCCTACCCCGACTCCCACCCGTGGCCTGGGCAAGGGTTGGGTGATTTGCAGCTGCTGGGACCCCCCTCCCTGGGATTCAGGGAAACACTGCTCCCCTCCATTCTGTGTTGTAGATGCCAACTGCGTGAGGAGGGGGCTCACCTTCCTGTCCCCAGGCTGGAAGAGAAAGAGTCGCCATTTCGAAGGGCAGGGCTTGACATGTCTCAGGCACCATCCTGCCTCGGCAGTGGGACCCCTACCCTAGGCTGCCGTCTGGGGGCCCTGTACCGGGCTTGTGTCCACAATGACTCTGCCCAGCTCCAAGCCGTGCTGGATGGTGGGGTCTCCCCAGAGGAGGCCACCCAGGTGGACAGCAATGGGAGGGTGAGCTACCCCCAGTGCTTCCCAGGGCAGCTAGGGCAACCCTTTGTCCCCCACACCACACACATCCGGAGGGTTTCAGGGTCAAACACCCACTGCTTGGATCCCTGGGAGGAAAGGAGGGAGTGAGGGTGGGTCTTCTCTGGGACAGATGTGGGTTTAGAAGGCACCGGGGCCCCAAGCAGATCCCGAGGAAAGCACAGGGCCTGAGCTGCTCCTTCCCCAGACAGGCCTCATGGTTGCATGCTACCACGGCTTTGAGAGTGTTGTGGCCCTGCTTAGCCGCTGTCCTTTCCTTGATGTGAACCAGCAGGACAAAGAAGGGGACACAGCCCTCATGCTGGCTGCCCAGGCAGGTGAGGTGCCAGGCTGCTGACCTCACCCACCACCAGTCCCCCTGCCTCAGACAGAGCCACACTCCACACTCTGCGTGATGTTCCCACCCCAGACTCTGCTGTGTTGGGAGTGGGTTTGGGGTTTCATCACTCCCTTTTCTGGGGAGCTAAGCTCTGTCCTCTGTCCCTTGCAGGCCATGTGCCTCTGGTGAGCCTCCTACTCAACTATTACTCAGGCCTGGACCTGGAGCGCCGGGACCAGCGGGGGCTAACAGCACTGATGAAGGCTGCCATGCGGGACCATTCCGAATGCGTGGCTGCCCTCCTCATGGCAGGTGCATGGGGCCAGGATGGGGGTCTATGGCCTCCAGTCCTTCCCCCAAGATTCCCTGGCAGACAGAGTCAGCTGTCATAGTTGCTGAGAAGAGAGGGAGGATCAGTCTAGGTCAACTTCCTAGAAGAGGGGAATGTGTTTGGGCTTCTCACAATCAACAAAGTCCTGCCATTGATAGCTCTGTTTATATTGTCAAAGGCGGTCCCTGAAAAGAAAGCTTGGGAGGATAACCTAGATCAGCGGGAAAACCTAAAGCAAAAAAGGCTCGTTTCTGGAACCAGACTCTCAGCTTTAGTCCTGGCTCTACCACTAATGACCCTGAGCAGGTGGCTTTTTTCTCTGGCCTTCAGCTGTAAAAGAAGGGTGTTGGCCTTCTCTGGAATGACTTTGAGCTCTGACCAGCCAGAGTCCCAGGGACACAGTGATGTGTAGTTGAGGTGTGGGGTTGGTTGTTGTAGGGGAAAGTCCACCCTGTTCAAGACATGTCAGTCCCTCAATATTCCTCAAGGTGGCGCTGCTCTCTGTTGATCACCCAGGGTTTCCCTTCCCCATACCATCAGACTGGGTTTGGGGTGAGAAGGGAGTGACCTCTGCACCCCTCCTCTAGCTCAGAGTGATTGCTGCTCCCCACCAGAATCCGAGGGGTGTTGTGATGAGGAGAACCTGGAGTGGGAACCAGTAGGGCCCCTCTCTACCTGCCACAGAGGGTGCAGCTTGGGCATCCCCTGACCTGGGCAACCTACACATCACTCCTCTGGTTAGTTCCTTGGTTCAGGTGTTCCCTATTCTACTCCAGGCTTGGAAGCCCCCAGTAGGTCACTCTGAAGTCATTTCCCCTCTCTGGACTTCAGTTTTTTTCATCATTTTTAAACAAGAGGTTGGGATCTGGGGATGGTACTATCCCTGGGCTGTAGCCTCTGAGGGCTTTCAGATTCCAGCTGCAACAGGATGGGCCTCTGTGGTTTTAAATCTACCCCAAATCAGTCCTGCTGCTAAAGAATCTGCTCTTCTGAAAGTCACTAAACCCCGTCCCATCCCAATCATCCTTGTGCCCCCTCCCAGGTGCTGACCTGACAGCGGTGGATCCTGTTCGGGGTAAGACGGCCCTGGAGTGGGCAGTGCTGACTGACAGCTTCAATGCTGTGCAAAGGATCTGGCAGCTGCTGCGGCGGCCCCGAGTGGAGCAGCTCAGCGAGCATTTCCAGCCTGAGTGGCCAGCCCTGCCCGGGCTTGTGGCCCAGGCCCAAGCTGCCCCATCTCTCCTAAACCGGCTGCAAGCCCATTTGAGCCTGCCCTTTGCCCAGTCTCCTCAGGAGGGGGGTGTCCTGGACCACCTTGTGACTGTCATGACCAGTCTGGCCAGTCCCTTCCTCACCACTGCCTGCCACACCGTGTGCCCTGACCGCCCGCCTGAACTGGGCACCCGAAGCAAGTCTGTGCCAGAGCTGCTAGGCACTGCCCCTCCCCCACCCCCAGCCCCCCAATCTCCTCAGATAGTCCCTGGCCCCCAGTTCTTCATCCCTTACCAGGGCCCTCAGGGCATGTTGAGTATGTGCCCTCAGTGGCTACAGCCTAGGGATGGTGCCAGCTCCAAGCCCCAAGCTCCCAAGATCCTCCTCTCCAAGGCACCCTCATCTTCCAGCCAGCGCCAGCTGAAGCCCAGGCCTGCAGGGCACCAAAGCCTGGCCCTTCCTGTCTGGAGATACCAGGAGCTCAGAATGATGAGGAGGCAGCAGGAGGAGGAGGCCAGGTGGGCACAGAGCCAGGGGAAGATGGGCTAGGCTGGCCTGGGAGCAGCTCATCAGGCCCCTCCTTTAGGCTCCGTTGTCCTCTAGAGCCCCTTTTGCCTTCACATCCACCTTTGTCTAAGTGACTCTACTCTCAGCCTATGTGCAAGGTGATTCATACAGCATTGTTTGCAACAGTGTAAGAGTGGAAACAACCCAAGTGTCCATCGATAGGGGACTAGCCAAATTGATTATGGGTGTAGTCACTGTACACCCATATGAAATATTCTATACAGTGGTAAATAAGACAAGAGCAAGGAAGCTCTTTATGTTATGAAACTGATCTTCAAGACGTATTAATGAGCATAGCCAAGGGGTAGAACAGTATGTGTGGCATGCTACTGCTTGTCAAAGTAAAATTTCCACCAAGATAAACTTGACTAATACAGACATAGAGTGAGAACCAAGATTTATTTAACTACTTAATGAGTGGTCAAGGAAGGATGGATCAGAGGAAGAAATGAAAACCATTGTTGACAGTCAGTGGAAATAAGAACGCTTGAATAAGGTAACAAAGTTAGATACAAAAAAGGTTCATTCCTACCCAGCAATAAAACCATAACTGTTTTTTTTCTACCAGACAAAAATAATTTGCTATTTACCAATCTTCTACAGGTTAACCTCTTAATTTCATAATGTTTGGGCCCTTATCAATAATAAATAGTATGTCAAACAAAGTTATTTCCCTTAGATGACCCATAGGTGGGGTTATTAGCCAATGATCTAAAATATCTTTGAAAGGGCACTTAGTCATTTTTTGTGTGTGCCTTATTTACAAGTTTTGAATATTTCTTAACACATTGGTTGCATAAATACATTTGCCTACTTATTCATAACAATAAAAGCAGCTACTTATAAGGTGCTTACTGTATACATTCATATGTTTGATATTCCCAATAATCCAATGAGGATTTTATCTTTGAGGACACAGGGCACACAGGGCACAGAGAGGGTAACGAATTGCTTAGTGTCACACAGCTAGAAACTGGCAGAGATCAAGATTGAGAGTCACCATCCAATTGTGGAGGCCAGATTTTTAACACTAAAGCATGCTGTCTTAGTGGAACCACTGTGAAAAGAAACATGGCATTTTTCTTGGGAAGGAGACTGAGCAGCTGACCAAGGCTGGAAGGGAGCTTTTCCACTGAAAATCTTTTTGAAACTTTTGACTCTTAAAAATAAATTGTATATTTTAGAACAGTTTTAGATTTACAGAAAAGTTGTAAAGATCATGCCAAGAGTTCCCATATACCCCATACCCAGTATCCTCTTATTAACATGAGTAGAGTACATTGTGTTACAATTAACAAACCAATATTAACACATTATTATTAATAAAGTCCATACTTTAGTCTGAGTTCCTTGGTTTTTAAAATAATATCCTTTTTCTGTACAGAATTCCATTCAGGATACCACATTATACTTAGTTGTCGTGTAGGTTCCTCTTGACTATGATAGTTTCTCAGATTTTCCTTGTTTCTTGACTGTTTTGAGAGGTACTGGTATTTTGTACAGTGCCCCTCAATTGGTCTTTGATGTTTTTCTCTTGATTAGCCTGGGGCTAGATTTTCAGGAGAAAGATCACAGAGGCACTGTGCCATTCTCAGTCACATTATATCAAGGGTACACACTATGAACGTGACTTATCACGGTAGAGTTGACCTTGAGCACCTGGCTGAGGGAGTGTTTGTTGGGTTCTCCCTTGTAATGTTACCTTTTCCCCATTTCTATATTGTACTCTTTGGAAGGAAAGCATTCGATGAAGCCCACACTAAAGGAGTGGGGAGCTCTGTTGCATCTCCTTGGGGGTGGAGTATCTACATAAATTATTTGGAATTCTGCTGCACAGAACGTTTTGACTTTTTAGTTACGTATTACCAGATTTTGAAAAGTTAAAAAATAAATTTGCCCTTTGAAGAGGGGAAAGCACCACCACCAGCACACACACAGTGAGGTGACAACGACCAACAGTGTTAGATGGTATGTGACTTCTCCAACAGGGGTCTGAAGTCAGCTGTGCTGAACTGCAGTAGGTTCAAGGCTAATATTGCCATTTCCTACCTGTATGATCCTGAATTGGCCACTTAAAGTTTCTCTTGCCTCCGTTTTCTCATCAATTAATGGGGGAAAACAGGATTACTGGAAGATCCATTAGATAATATGGGTATAAAAGCCCTGTGAACTGTAAAGTGCTAGTGAGATTTGAGATGCTTTGGAAGGGCCCTGGTAAGCTGAGTTTTACTGAGCTACTTCCAGGCTTCCTGGGTGGAGCTAGAATCATTTCCTCCCTACCCAATGCTGAAATCAAAGTGCAGGAAGCCAGCGCTGGCACTGGGCATAACAGAGAAACTACATCGACAGGCTTGGAGGAGCATGGTGGGTATATGCTTTGGCCTGGGAGTTGACCTGTGACCTTGGGCAAATTATTTAACCTTTCTAAGCCTCAGGGCTCCCACGCGGAGAATGGAAGTGATAATAACACGTCAGCACAGGCCTGTTGTGAGCCTTTAATGAGACAAGGCCACACTTGTACTGTGCTGGCCTTAATAGAATCATCCTGTTTAATCCTCACAACCTTTGTATTCTGTAGTTAAGGAAGCTGAGGCTGTGAAGATTAAATGATTTGCCCAAGGTCACCAGCTGGTAAGTGGCTAAGTGGCATTTGGAGTTCAAGTCTGTGGGACTCCAAAGCCTGTGTCCTTTCTTTCCACTGCAGCATTTGGCCTCTGCTGACAGCCCAGTTTCCCTGGTTCTCTGAGCCTCTTCTTCTCACTTCCAACTGATTTGAGTTTTACAGGGGTATAGGAGTGACCATGGCATCTTCAGGGCCAGAGAACTAGCCCTCTGTGGATCTCTCCATCCCAGGCGGCCTGGGGTGGATCTGAGCTGGGAGGCTCAATGGGCAGGTGGTAACCTGGGTCCAGGTTGGACTACATTTCCCAGCAGCCTGTCCACCTTATGAAGACCCACCCCTCCATCTCTGGCCATCAATCCTGCCATTCCTCTTCCGGGGCCAAGCCATTTCTCCCAGTCCTCTAACAGCTCCTGACGGCCTTTCAGGCTGCCAGAGAGGAAAGGCACCTCTGTGGACTGCTCTGCCCTGGCCCTCAGTCAACTTCTCACTAACGTCCCAACTTCTCCCCTCCCCGAGTCCAGCTCTTGAGGCTTCCAAACTGAGTCCCTGTTAGCAGAGGCCAAGGAACCCAGGATAAGGTACCTGGCTGTGCAAAACACGGGCCATGGTAAAGACGCCTTGCTACAGCCGACAGACCTGGGCTTGAATCTTGGCCCTGGATCTTACCATCTCTGTGCCCAAAGACCTCTCTCAGCCCTTGTCTCCTCATTTGTAACATCCAATGGTGATAATATATAATTGCTACTTCCCAGGGTTGCTATTGGGCCTGGACACGGAGAGGTGTGTGAGGCCCTGTGCATGCCTGATAAACGGCAGCTCGTGTTACTGTGTTGGGTGGTACCGGGTGAGGAAACGGCCAAGCGGGCAGCTCAGTGGAGGAGGCCCACGGATATGTCTTTGGACCCCATGGCCTCCCCTGTGATTCTAGGATACTATGCTGGTGGCCCCTGAAGTGAAAACACACCCTTATCTCGGAGAGCCTTCTCAGAGCAGCTGTTGTGTCCCAGACAGAAACTACTCTCTGGGCCCCAGAGCTCCGTGCCCTCAGCCCAGCCTGCCCCCAGTCTGCTCCCTGTCACTGCGGCACAGATGGCCAGCCAACCTGCTCCCTGCAGTGTCCACCCTCCACCCTGGCAGATGGGGGCACTCACAGAAGGGACAGGAAGGTTGGCTGTCCTGAGGAGCACTGGGATACCAGCCAGGCTTGCCGGGGCCCCTGGGAACCGTCCCCTCAGCCCTGGGTGGGGAGAAGCCATGTCTATCCCCCTAACGCCTGGTTCTGTGCTCAGCACATACAGGCTCAACAAATTTGAAGAGAAAAGAATTGAATTCAGGTTCCACCAAGGCCTGGGATGCTTAAAGGAGCCTTTATCACCTAGTCCTCTCAGGGGCTGCCCTGATTCCAGGAGTGGCAGTGTCCCCAGTTAGCCCAGGGCACGCCCCAGGAATCCCCTGGTGGGTCAAGGGAAGACAAAGAAGTACATGTATGTGGGGAGGAGAGAAGGACAGGTGGGAACTCATTGGTCTGTGTCCCCCTTTTCCCAAACTGGGGCACCCAGACAGGACTCCCCCTTCTCCAGCAGTCATGCCTTCTAAATGGTTGAACATAATCAGCACACCTTCCAGCACACCAACCACCCTGCCAGCCGCACCCTCCCCACACCTTCCCCCCAACCCCCAGGCCCTTCCTCGCCCTGACTGCTGAGGACCTTCCTCCAGTCAGATTTCAGCCAGCTCTGCTGAGAAACCCATCTGGCCAGGGCTCAGGCCCACGTTCAGTCCTGCTCACCTCTCTCCGTTTCCTGAGAGGCAGCACGGCTGTTTGCGGTTAAGGAAGACACCAACCTGAAGGTGGGCTTTAGGGCAAGGCTCGGGGACGGGTGGGCTCTGTGGCTCGTGGCAGGGTCACACAGTGTCACGCAGATGTGCCAGCCAGAGTTTCACAAGGCCCTGCAGCCGCCCAGGCACAGGAGCACACGCAGGCCCATTGGCCCACAAGCTCCTAGTTGCCTACAGGGAGTTCACACACACAGGCGCACACCCCACCACACGCAGACACAAATACATAGACTCACTGACAAAGGGGAAAACAAAAACAGGGGTCCTCCAATCCCTGAGGTTCTTGGCCCATCCCCTCCCCGAGCATTGCCAGCGCTAAACACTGTACACTCCCCCACCATTCAGCTCTATGCATCGCCTGTGAGACTATAGCCCAAGTTGCGGTCTGTCTAAACATTTGGAGCAGGAGTTACAGCACTGAAAGAGGGCCAAGACTTCCCCTCAAGCTCTCTCCATAGACCTAGGCATCTTCCTTAACTGTGAAAAGCCACCGTCCCTCTGAGAGACGGGAGAGAGGTGAGCAGGCCGAAAACTCCATCCTACTTGGTGACTATTTATTCCAGACCAGCCTTGGATACCCCTAACCCCTGTTCTGTACATCCATGCCAATGATCTGCCTTCAGGGAGCTAGGCGCCTGCCGATTAGGGGATCCTGGACTCAAGAGCTCGCTGAAGGCCCTCCGTACCAGGCCCACTGGTGTAGGGTAGGGCAGAGCCTGGGCACGGATGCCAGAGGGGTAGCATTTATGGCATTTCCCCTCCAGCTGAAACAAAGGCAGATTCCTGTGTCCAGCCCCAGCAATCCGGTCCCACCCACCCGAGTGGCTGGAGCTGAAGGAAATCCCGCTGGCCTCTGGCCTCCCCCAGCCACTCAGCCCTTCTTTCAAACAATCTTGCTCGCACCCGGGGCCTGGGAAACCCTTCTTGTCCAAATATCACACCCTCCTCTTTGGAGTTGGCCCCCTTAACCCTCACACTCCCTCCTCAGGCAGCAAGGGTCCCCTCAGCACCCAAGAGCCTGCCAGCTTCCTCCCCTCCTTGCCAGACACCTTTGCCCACCCTCACCCCAGCAAACTCAGGCCCTGCTTTTCTTAGAGTGAACAAAAGTCTGGACGCCTCTGGGAATGCTTGTACCACCCAAAATGCTGGGCCACGCCCTCAAGGCTTCTCTACTGCCCTGAGTTTCAACTGAACATTCCCCAATCACAAAATCCTTTACTTCAACTAACTGACATGCCTTCCTTAGCAGCCACAAAATTGCTGTGCAAAGGAAGGGTGAGGATGCCGTTATCCTTAATTAGCAAAGAGTCAAGAGATATTGCCTGATACAAATAGGACAGGAACTAAAGGCATGTTATTTAAACTGAAAAATAATAACCTATATAATAATAATAATGATCAATAATTACAAGGGGTGGGATAAACAGGCAGGGGTTGGTAAAAGGGCACAGACTTTAAGTTAAAAGATGAATGAGGTCTGAGAAGCTAATGTATAACATGGTAGCTATAGCTGATAACACTGTACTGGAAAAGTGAAATTTGCCAGGAGAGCAGACCTCATATTCTACTCATCAAAAAAAAATAAAGATAAAATAAATATATTAGGTGATGACTGTGTTAATTAACTAGATGGGAAGAATCTTTTCACACTATATATGTATATCAAATCATCAGAATGTACACCTTAAGTATCTTACAGTTTTGTCAATTACACTTCAATCAACCTGGAAAAAAAAATCTAGAGATAGCAGTGTGAATGTATTATTTGGAGTTATTGAAGTAAAAGTCAGAGAAACAAATAGCTTAAATTTTGGGTCACTGGCTGGCTCCAGCAAGAAGGTCTGGGGGTAGGTCTAGTTGCTTCTCATTATCAACTCTTCTGCAGAATTTCATTTATTTAGTTTATTTACTCTGTGCTTGTTTGGGGTTGAATTTTTTTCAGAATGGCTGCTTCCTACGTCAAAGTCCTCAGCAGTGGCTGTACATTTGTCTGTCTAACAACCCCTCTGGCAGCTGGTGGTAGAAGTGGGAACATTTGGTCCTCATCTTTGAGCAGGTGAGGAAATAGAGGCGCCATCACATACACACGTCTCCTGACTCCCAGAGTTCATGCTCTTCCTCCTACCCCACAGCTCCATCTCCTCCCTCAAAAGACATCTCTGTCTTTTGTTTACAGTTGGCAGAAGCCTCCCACAGATATTTTGCTTCTGTTCTGAGAATGTGGTCGAGAAGGAATTACCAGCCCCTTTCTTGTAGGTGTGGAAACTGAGCCATATATACCGGGGCTCCAACTCCAAGCCTGGGAGGGAAGTCAGGGCCTCTAGAAGGCAGGCAGGGAGGGGCAGGCCGGAGGTCAGTGGCCTGCCTGGGAAGGGGACGGCGCTGGAGCAGCATCTCAGCTGAGCCCAGGCTGCCTGCCAGCTCACCCCGAGGCATTGTGCGGGCACCGCCTAGTCGCAGACTCCTGCCCCGACATGCCATCCCCTCCTTACCAGGTTCCATCCTGAGATGAGTCATCCTGAGGGATGGCAGGGAGTGGGTGAACCCAGGCAGAGGACATCCCGGAGGAGCTGGAGAGGAAAAGGAAGGTGACACGGTGGCTCAAAGTCCGGCAGTCTGGCCCCTGCCTGCCTCTTGCTGAGGTGCTGGGCAGGGCTCTCTGGCTGTCCTCACCCTCCGCAAGCCCTAGCAGCAACCAAAGTGCCTCTTTGCCTGAGCTGTGGTGACAAGGCCTCGGACCAGGTAGTTTCCTGAACCTGAAAGCCAATGAAGATAATGTAAGGCTGGGAAGGACCTTTGGGAGTACCCGGCCTAAGCCCTCAGTGTAAGAAGAGGAAGGTGAAGCCCAGAGAGGTGATCCAGGCCTGGAACCCAGGCCCCATTAATTCCCAGTAACTGCCCTTTTTGGGACACCAGGGTGACTTCTGCCCTGAGCCAAAGGAGACCTAAAAAGGTCACTTCTCTCTCTCTTCCTCAGGCAAAACCTGTACCCAGCTCACAAACTTGAGACTCTCTCCTTGTGTTGAATAGATGGATAAACAGAATTCACAGGTATTCTGCCCCACTTCTCCCTTAAAAGACACTTACAGTTCTTCCTCCTCACATAGGGTACCCTTTTCTGTTTTCATGTCTCTCACATTTGAAAATTCCCTAGGCTGTCTGATCTAAACCCCCCACTTCACAATTCAAATGGAATAAAGCCTAGCTCACCCTCTGCAAAATTTCCCCCCTTGCTTTTTCTTCCTACTCATCCTGGTGCAGAACTGGCTACATGATTTGTGGGCCCTATGCAAAATGACAACGTGAAGCCCTTTGTTCAAACATTATCCGGAATTTCCTGACGGCAACAGTAGAGCTTCAAACCAAGCAGGGGGTCCTGTGCATCTGCACGGGTATGTCACCCATGAAGTTGGCCCTGCCCTGGTGTCAGGAGCGAAGCTTGAACTCAATACTCCTAGCTGCTCCTGAAAATGCAGGTTGTCTAGTTCATTGCCTTCGTGCCAGGCTCCGTGTCACCTGCCTTCCATAGATAAAAATTGCCTTGAGGTTTTACCCCACGTACCCTTCCCAGGATCTCCAAGCCTCAGCATCACACACTGCTGGGAAATCCTTCTAAATATTTCAATTTAAATCTTAGCCCTTTGAGCCTATTTCCTTTTGTTCTGTCCTCACTGAATATGGGGAACAGCTGGTCCTTCTGAGTAATTAATTTTGTAGACTTGGACACAGTCTCTAATTCCTTTTCCCTTTCCTCACTGGCCTGAGTCTCCAGTGCTTTCTCCAGTTCTGTGTCCCTCCTCGGATGCCTCCCCCAGGTTCTCTGTGTGCTCTGGGAGGCATGAGGTTCACAGAAGGCTCCGAGGAGCACCAGTCGGGATCTAGAGGGCTCTTTGCTCTGGGGAGGGAGGGAGACGCCAGCACTCATCAAAAGCCCGTCTCCCATCGGGCCATCTTTCTCCTCCAAACCCTACTCTTTCATGCTTCGCAAACCCTCTCTAGTTAAAGTCCCCCAGCCCCACGGGCTCTCACCAGCCACTCCCAGCTCTTCTCCTTCTCTAGGTTTCTGTTCTGAGCGTGTGTCTCAGACTGATTGCTTCCCTTGGGGAAGCCCCCACTTCCACCCTTTAGGACGGAGATCCATGGACTGGGATTGGGAGAAGCTTATCAGAAGCCATAGCAGGGCAGGGGGGAGGGTGGGTATGAAGGATGGACACGCGGCCACACTCCCAGTTCTCCTGCTCATAGAGTGCCGAAGTGGCCGCTATAATCTGAAAGAGCAGATACTGTAATCCCATAGTACTTCCTATTGGCTGCAGGACACAGTTCTGTCCTGACACTGAAATTTGGGTGTGCCTTGGTTCTGGAATTCACAATGCTCACAAGTTGTGAAGCAGCTGTGGGATGGGGGCCAGGGAGGGTTTCAGCAGAGGAAGTGAGGTAAGCCAACAATTGATGCCTGTCTGAGCCTTTAGCTATTGTGTCCCCCAGCCTCTATTCCTGCCAAAGGGTGGGGGGCCCTGGCCCATCTTACAGAATCCCCATACTATAGCACCTCAGAGGTCCACTTCTGCTTCTAATGTCCAGTCTTTCTGCTTGGCTTTGAGGCCACTACCTCCCCAGGCTTTTCTTTTATTGATTTAATTAAACACTTTCATGGAGGGCCTGCCCTATGTCAGGCTGAGCCAGCCCGCATTTTTGCCATAAACTGAGATAAGCATCATTTCCCTTCATTCTCACAGCAACTGCAGGAGGCTGGCACTGTTGATCATGCCCATTTATAGATGGGGGACTGAGGCATGGAGAGGTGTCCCTTGTCTAAGCTTACCCAGCCAGTCTGGGTTTCCAGACTTCAGCGTCTTTCTGGATAACCAGGAGGCTAGGAATAAAAAGTCCTGGCTTCAGGGTTCCTTGTCAGCAAGGCAAGGATGTCAGTACCTGAGGCTGTGCAAAGGCATCAGGAGGAAGAGTTTGCTCCTCCCTGGAGGGAAGCCTTTTTGCTCCCCACCCAATGGCTTTCCCAGCACTGTCCCAAGGGAGCCTCCAGTTCTCATCTCTAAAGCTCCATTTGGTGGGGTGAGGAGCCTGCCTTGAAGAGGGCAGTCCAAGGCAGTCCCCAGGCCCCCCTCCATTCTGGCCACCCACCACAGGGAGAGGCGTCCTTGTCACTGAGCTATTCTGCGGCTGGAGGGGCTCAGACCGTCCTCACCCCCGACCTATAGCTGCCCCATCTGGGCCTGTTCACCCCGCACGGAGCCCAGAGAGGCTGCAGAAGAGGGGAGGGAAATTGAGGGGGCGAAGAGGCCAGAGGGAGGAGGCTGAAGGATTTGGACTGAGTGGGGAGTCCCTGGGGGCGGAGGAAGAGGGCGGAGCCAAAATATTTTGGACCCTGCCAGCCCCAAACTCAGCCCTTGCTGCTATAAGCCTTTTAGGCCCAGGACCCGGGGTTGACGGTAGTCAAAGAACAGGTAACTGCCCCCCTCATTCCCCTCCCCGCAAGTCCTGCCCGCGCTGCCCACCCCGCCAGTCCGATTCCAGATCGCCCCCTCAGAGGCTCCGAGAGAGAGGGGGGTGCCCCCACCTCCACCCCGAACCCTGCTGGCCCTCAGACTGGGCCTCTCATCGCGGCTCTGGTCCCCATGGCTCCGGGCCTGGACCCCGTGAGACCCCCGCGGCCGGAGCCCAAGGCCCGCCCCCTCGGGGAGGCGGATGTGGGAGGCTCGGGGGCGGGGGCGCGGCCGAGGCCCGGCAGCTGGGGGCGGCTGAGGGGCGCTGCCCTCGGGGTCTGGGAGCCGCGGGGGAGGGTCCCGGCCCCACTGTCTCAGCGAGGGGCGAGCGGCGGCCCGTCGGCTAGCTGGGCAATAGGAAACGGTTTATTAGGAGGGAGTGGTGGAGTCGGGCCAGGCAGGAAGACGCTGGAATAAGTAACATTTTGCTCCAGCCCGTTTCGCAGTCCCGGGAGGCCACCGCGCCCGCCGCGCCGAGCGAGCCCCAGGCCGGTCCCAGCCCCGTCCCGGGCACCCCGACCCCTGCCCGCGGTCCAGCGCCTTTCGTGCGACCGCGGCCGCCGGCGAGGAGAGGCGCTCCGCCGCGCCACGACGCCGCAGGCCCAGAGGTGAGTCGCGGTCCGCGGGCGGGGCTCAGGGTGGGCGGCCTGACCCCTACCCCGATTGAGCCCTTCTCGGAACAGGTGCTAGAGAGCCCTGCAGACAGGTCCCTGCGGGGTCAGCCCCAGCTCTCTAGTGCTGGCTGCCCCCTTGCCCTCCCGCACATCTGCCCATTACTGCACCTAAGACTGGACGGGGCTGGACCAAACCCGGATGGAGAATCAGAAACTACTCCAGTCTGGGGCCAGTCAGTTAATTTCTCACTTCTCCTATCCTCATCCACAAAATGGGCAGGATTCCTGCCCTGCTTCACTTATGGAGAAAGGGTCACATGTGCCTCTAGGTGGAGGCTTGACCTGGGAGTGAGTGTTCATGTCTAATGCTGTTGAGCTTCCCTGAAGCCCACCTTTCCCAGACCAGCCCTTGCAACTCTTGCTTAAGGAATGTGACACTTTGACTCCACCCGACAAGCTTCACATCCAACCCTGCATGGTCAGATAATCGCCCTGCCAGGGCCTTCCTCAGGTTCCAGGTGAGAGGGTTTCTGTCTCCCTCTGGGCTGCGACTCCACTCCACGATGGGACTCCTGGAGGCTAGTGGCTTTTAAGCCGATCTCTGGAGTGGCAGCTCACCCACCCCACTCTCCTCCAAGGATGGAGTGCAGTGGACAACAGCTCTCACCCTCTCTGGCTGAGTCAGGGTCTGTCCTCTCTGATCCTTCACTGCCCCATTTGTCCTAGTACTTGTCCTTCCACTTCATCAGGTAGTTAGAAATCACTGCTATTTATTGAGTACTTAATATGTAGGCACTTAGATATATTTTTCTTATGTAATCCTGGCCACAACCTAGCAGAAGAGGTATTACTATGTCCATCCTACAGAAGAGAAAAGAGATTCAGACATAAATCATTTGCCCAAAGCTCCACGGATGTGTAAATGATACAGTTAGGGTTTTGGTAACATTTGTTAATGTGTTTGCTGTGTACCACTTAGTACTCTGCTAAATAATTTTACCACATTATACCTGTGAAATGAGCACTGTTATTAGTCCCATTTCACAGGGAAGCCTAAGCCTTAGAAAGTTTAAATAACTTGCTCCCAAATCTCACAGCTCTAAGTAGCAGAGGCAGCATTTGAACCCAGATCTGTGTGATTCTGAGCCCACATTCTGACCTCTGTTACTATATGGTGCTGCCTCTGCATTCAGTCTGAGACCCTAAAATCCAGGCCTGGTGCTACATCACACTGCTGTGAAGGGCTAATGAAGTTGATACAGATAAAAGTGCCCTGGATGTGGTAAGGGGCAACCCCGTTTGAGCAGCTGTCTGCTCCTCTCTTGTTCTGGTAAGTCCTGCTGATGTGCAGAACAGGGTGCTTCAGCCCAGTGACAGTCACTGCTGTGCTGAGCTACTGCTGCTGATGGGAGCCTGTTCTATCAAGCCGTCAGGTGTGCTGGGGAGAAAAAGATCAACAACCACCTTCTGAGCACAGTCCTGCTCTGGTTCTCCCCATGTAAGACTAAGCCTACAGATGATTTGTCTTCTCATCTAAACAAACCTGCATTGGGCACTCGGTGATGACAACAGCAGAGGGCCATCTGTGAGACCCCCTTGCTCGTTTTCAGCCTTCGAGGGACTCATCCAATACCAAACAATTGGAGGCATAAAATGACCAAACAAAAATTTATTACCAATGATTTAAGTTGGTCAAGACACACATGATTATGCACAAGAAAGTTGACCTCCCTGAGCCTCAGTTTCCCCCACTAGTTTGTGAGGATTAAATGTGATCAACTGTCAAAGTTCAGTACTCAGCACATAAGTAGTACTCAGACAAGGTTAGCTCTTATTAAGGATTTCACAGTGGTAAGTCAGTGTTTGAAATTAGTTTAACATTTGTGATTTCTGGCCAATGACAGTGATGCTTCTGTCAGCAGGAGATCTTTCAGGGAATTTTGCTTAGAAGTGAAAGAATACTGACAGACCCCAGTAGTCTGTTTGTGCTAGAGTCAGGTCTCAGGGTGAAGCACGCAGGGTCAGCTCTGAATTTGGGCTGGTCAGGACTCAGCACCCGTCTGTACTTCTCATTATGGTAGGCCCAGGTGAAAACAAGACAGACACAATTCCACTCCACCACGTTCCCAGGGTCAGATCAGAGGAGGATTCTGTAAAGGCTGCCAGGCCCTCTCTCCCCCATTCCTGGGCCTGGGAAGCTTGAAGTGTCAAGAGCAAAGCCCACATGCTCCCTTCGGCCCCCAGTGTCTCCAAGTCCTGGCATTGATGTTTAGCCCAGTCTGTTCCTTCTCCAGTAGAAGAGGAGGTCCCCAGGTGGGAGTGAGAGTCCCTGCCTTCTGCCATTCACCCAGCGGGGCCCCACACAGTGAAAGGAAAGCACCAGTTTTAGTGTTGTGTAAGGCATGTTTCTCAGAGTGTGTTTCCCACACACACTGATCAGAATTACCTGAGAAACTTTTAAAAATGCATGTTTCTTGATGATCCCAGATGGACTGAATCAGAATTTGGAGTGGGGATGAGACCAGAGAATATTTAGGCTAATGAAGCACATCAGGTAATTCTGGTGCATAATAAAGTAGGGAAGAGGTTGCACTGGGGCACAGTCAGAAGTGGAAGCCTGGCTAGAGGATCCTAGAAGGATGCCAAGTTTGCTCCTTGGTATCCACTTTTTCCTTCCTGCCCCATACTCTCTCTTTAGCTGCTTTCTGAGAAAGCGAGGCTTCCCAGGATGGCTTCCCACCCCTACCCCTGTGGGCAGACTCAGCTTGTCTGGGGCTCCCTCTGCAGCCATCAGTCCCACTGCAGAGTGCTTGCCAGAGTCCTCACTGCCTGCCGGGAGGGGCAAGAGGCAGGAGGTCAGGCAGAGGCTGGGGACACAGCTGCAGCAGCCCAGGGCTCCGTTTCCTCCCCCAGCCCTGGGCCTCTGGGGCAGAGGAAACCCTGCAGGAAGGCCAGAGCTGCCACCAGGCAGAGAGGCCCGTGAAACCCCCCCCACCCCAGCCCCAGCCATCCTGCCCTCAGAGCCTCAGCATCACAGATCTTCATTTAGATCATGGGCCCTCTGCAGCCTATGTGGTCCTGTGCCCAGCCTACCAGACTCATGTGTCATGCCAGAAGACACTCTTCCCTAATGTTAGCGGCCTCTGCCTGGGATCCCACCCCCAGGCACACACCTGCATGCTCCCTCCCCACCATTCAGAAAGTCCTTCTTGCTGTCTGACCTCTGTCCTTCTTGCTGGAGCCCCAGCACTTATCTCCCTGTTTTAAGCCTTTGAGAAATGAACAGGAGGGTGGCTTCTGAAGCAGTAGCTGGGTTGGGAGCTGGGCTGGGGACTGTTGTAGATTAGAATTACTGCCCTAATGCTCTCCACCAAACTTCTGGAGAAGTCCAACCTTAGTCACTGAAGGTCAAACATTCAGGGTCCAAGTATGTTTCACTTCCCCTCCCACATCACTGGCTCTGCCCCCACCCTTTCCTAGGACAGCAAGGAGAGAGAAGAGGGCCAAAGATTGGCTCAGAGGGGGCATCTTACACTCTGGTGAGATTGCAGAGAGGTCCCTTCACCCCTGGCATGACCCAGCACTGTCCAAGCTTTGCATGGTTGTTACAACCCTGAGAGCTCAGACATGGGCTGCCACCCAGGTCGGGGACACAGAGTGGAAAAAGCACTGGACTGGGAGTCTGGACACCTGGGGTGTACTCACAGTAGTGCTACTAATCCTGTTTGACTTTGGACAAGTCTTCTCCCCTGTCTGAGCCTTAATCCCCATCTTCTCTAAAATAAGGAGTTGGGCTTTGTAATTCACAAGGTATCCCTCTAGGATTCTGTCATGGGCGTGTCCTAGCCCCTGGTGGCTCCTGCAGACCCCACAGCCTCTCCAGCCAGCCCTGGGAATATGCCCTGAACTGCCTGCCATGCGTGACTCCTGCCTGTTCTATCCAGACCCCAATCTAAACAATCTTGATTCCTGTTACTAGCTTGGCGGGACCCTGAATGGCAGGAAGTAAAGACAGGAGCCTGTTTATGTTTGAGGCAGCCAGGGCTGGGGTGGCGGGGAGGTGGGGGGAGACAGGACAACACACTGGGAAAGGGGTGGGCAGGGGTGGAGGCAGGGAGAAGCCAGGCCACAAGACGGAAGGGTGTGGGGGCTGCAGAAGAGATGCTTCTTCCACCCCAGCGCCATGCTCTCTGGTGCTCCAGTCTGAACTCCCAGCAGGGGTGCAGAGCTGGGAGTCCCCCAAGCTCTCAGCCACTTAAACATGTCTCCTCACCCTCTTTGGTTTCCATGGGGAAGTGAACCAGGACTTCCCCTGCAGGCCCCGCCCCAAGGCCAGATGCAGGGAGTAGGGAGGAGGCCTCCCTTCCCACCCCCAAAAAACTCCCAGTGATTTCCTCTGCATGGGAGGGATCCACAGTCAGTGGCTGCAAACACTGTGGGGATCACATTTCACAGGTCTTACTGCACACCCCCTCCTTTACAGGGACCATGACCTTGGACCCCCCCAAGAGCAGCCTTCTGATGCTACTGATGGCCTTGGGCCTGACCCAGGGTGAGTACTGGGGGAGCAGGTAAGGAACAGGAGCCTGGGCAGAGGAAGGGCTATCTGAGCTCAGCTGTCTGGAGCTGCATTTGAGGAGAAGGGGATACTTAGGAGCTTGGCTGAAGGGTGGGAGACAGGCTCAACTAGACTCAGCCCCCAGCTACCCCACCCTCCGTTGCTATCCTCTTGATCCAGATCCACAGGCTGGTGCTCTGTAAGGCTCCACGGAGCGAACCTCTAACTAGGGGTGCAGAGAGTGGGGGTGATGGCCCGGAGGGCCCAGGAAGAAGCCTCAGGGTTGGAGCTGGAACTAGGAGGGGAGGTCCTAGGCTGGGGAAGGGGACAGAAGCCTGGTTCTCAGTGTCAGCTGCCCCTGGTGGTGCTAAGGCACTAGAGGGAAGGATAATCTGAGGATGGGACTAAGGGCCAAGGCCCTTTAGTTTGAGAGGTCAGAAGGAAGGGGGCAGTGGGACAGACATGGATGTTGGGCTCAGCCTGGGGAGTTGGGCCCAGAGTGGCTGAGCTTCCAGTGTGTCTCTCAGGTGACCCTGTGAAGCCCTCTCGGGGCCCCCTGGTGACCTGCACGTGTGAGAACCCACACTGCAGGGGGCCTACCTGCCAGGGGGCCTGGTGCACAGTAGTGCTGGTGCGGGAGGAAGGCCAACAACCCCAGGAGCACCGAGGCTGCGGGAACCTGCACCAGGAGCTCTGCAGGGGGCGCCCCACTGAGTTCGTCAACCACTACTGCTGCTACAGCCCCCTCTGCAACCACAACGTGTCCCTGTGGCTGGAGGGTATGTCTGCTGCCCCAGCAGCCCCGCCCCATCTTCTCAGGCCCTGCCCAGCACCTCCCCCACCCCACCGGCACCCGCCCCCCCATCCCCCCACCGTTCTGCTTTTCTCTCCCGCTCTGGCCAGAGGGTAGGGGAAGCAGGACACTGGGATCTGACCGGCAGAGTGGCAAGGTGGGGGTATCTGGCCTGGTGGAAACTGGGCCTCAGGGTCCCCCCTCTGCCAGCCACCCGAACTCCTCCGGAGCAGCAGCAAGTAGATGGCCAGCTGCCTCTGATCCTGGGCCCTGTGCTGGCCTTGCTGGTCCTCATGGCCCTGGGGGCCCTGGGCCTGTGGCACATCCGGCGGAGACAGGAGAAGCAGCGTGGCCTGCACAGCGAGCTGGGAGACTCCAGCCTCATCCTGAAGGCATCTGAGCAGGGGGACAGCATGTTAGGGGTATGGGCTTGGGAGAACCTGGGACACTGGGTTGGGGGGGATATAGGAACTGCAGAATCAGGGGGTGCACAGTGACAGGTAGCCAAGAAAGGCACAATTACAGACACTGAGAGATTCAGGCATGTGGGGGCCTGGGCCAGTGAGGACCAGGCAGAGACACAGCAGTAGGGCCCAGGTTGAAGAGGGAGAAAAGGGCTGGTGTGGGTGGGGGCAGCCTCTCAGCAGCCTCTCGGTACCCCCAGGACCTCCTGGACAGCGACTGCACCACAGGCAGTGGCTCGGGGCTCCCTTTCCTGGTGCAGAGGACAGTGGCACGCCAGGTTGCCTTGGTGGAATGTGTGGGTGAGCAGTGGGGGACCCAAGGGATGAGGACCAAGGGCTTGCATGAGCTCTCTTGGGGGAGGGAGCTCTTGGCTTCCGGAGTACAGGCAGAGCCACCCCTGGGTCAGAAATGGGATTCTTCTGGGCAGGGGGTGCGCTGGGGTGGGTCAGGACTAGATCCTTCTGCAGGAGCTGGAGTAGAACAAGAGGCAAATGGGGGTGGCCTGCCAGCTGGCTTTGGATCTGAATTGAGTTGTCCATAAGCCCCAAAGGTTCTGCAGATGTGGTCAATACAGCATCAAGACTGGGGGCTCTTCTGGGGAATAGTGTGCCCAGGGACTCTGTGTGCCCAGTATGTGACCCTCTCCCTCCCCTCTGGCCACTGGATCAGGAAAGGGTCGCTATGGTGAGGTGTGGAGGGGCCTGTGGCATGGTGAGAGTGTGGCCGTCAAGATCTTCTCCTCAAGGGATGAGCAGTCCTGGTTCCGGGAGACTGAGATCTACAACACAGTGTTGCTCAGACATGACAACATCCTAGGCAAGCTGGGGGTGCTATACCAGGTCCAGAGCTCCTACTCCTCCCCACCCCCGACTAAGGGCTGGAGGCCCCAGGCTGCTGACAGTGACTTAGTGCTGAAGAACTCCCAGCCAGCCCTCAGCCCTGATCTCTGACTCTGACTTGCTGTCTGAACTAAGCCAATTCAGCCTCTAACCCAGCCCCAGCTTTGCCCATATCCTGTCCATCCTCTGTCACCAGCCCTGACCCTGACCCATCCAGCCTCTCTCAGCCCTAGCCCCATCGCTGAGCCACCTGGCCCTCTGCTCACAGGCTTTATCGCCTCAGACATGACTTCCCGCAACTCTAGCACGCAACTGTGGCTCATCACACACTACCATGAGCATGGCTCGCTCTACGACTTTCTGCAGAGACAGACACTGGAGTCCCAGCTGGCCCTGAGGCTGGCTGTGTCCGCGGCCTGCGGCCTGGCACATCTGCACGTGGAGATCTTCGGCACTCAGGGCAAACCCGCCATTGCCCACCGCGACCTCAAGAGTCGCAATGTGCTGGTGAAGAGCAACCTGCAGTGCTGCATCGCCGACCTGGGTGAGCGGGGTGGGACTCGCGTGCTCCCTCTGCCCTTAGTTCTGTTCTGCCTTTGCCTGTTGAATGCGTGGCCACAGCAATGATACTGATAGGCACGTTAAAACTTACCGAGGTGTGTGTTGTCTCATTCCACTTCCACAAGAGCCCCACAAGCTGCCACTCTTTAAGCCCAGCAACCTTCCTCCACCGCACCACCCCAGCTCCAGGAGTACGGGGAAAGGCCCAGGAGCCAGGGAGCTGGGTTCTCCTCTGGGCTTCACTGACTGCATTGTTGCCCCTCACCAGGCCTTGGGGTTTTGCTCTGTGAAATGGGCATGATAATGCCTGCTGTGCCTGTTGACAACTTGCTGGGTTCTTGGGCACACAGAGAGCGCTACATGGCCCAGCATAACAGGCATTGTCTCCCTGTGGCTGCTCTCTCCCGGCTCACCTCGGGGCAGGTCTCCATTTGCCTGCCCCTCTATGTGCCACCATCTCCCTCCAGCCCCACCTTGCTCCACCGACCAGGCCTTCTGGGGCCACCCTGTCTGTGGGCTCAGGTGAGCAGCAGGATTGACCGTGCTAGTCCCCACAGGCCTGGCCGTGATGCACTCCCAAGGAAGCGATTACCTGGACATCGGAAACAACCCGCGAGTGGGCACCAAGCGGTACATGGCCCCCGAGGTGCTGGAAGAGCAGATCCGCACTGACTGCTTTGAATCCTACAAATGGACGGACATCTGGGCCTTTGGCCTGGTGCTGTGGGAGATTGCCCGCCGGACCATTGTCAATGGTGAGGACCCGCTCCGCACAGTGTGGGGAAAAGGGAATGGGGCAAGCAGACAGACAGACAGGCAGGCAGGAGACGGGCTTCTTGCTGTGACCGGCGCCCTCGGTGTGAGGGGCTGTGGCCAGACCTCCCCTCATTGCCACTCACCAGCTGGTACAGCTGAATGAACTTTTAAGGTTCTTCTGAGTCATTGAGTCTATGATTCTGGCTGTAAATTCTTGGGTAAATAACAATAACAAATATTAAAGCAGCTAACATTTGTTGAGGTTAAGTATGTGCCAGATGCCATGTTATAGACATTCATTATCTTACTTAATCATTCTGTATTGACAGGGAGGTGGTGTCGCTTTGTGGTTAAGAGCATGGGTTGGGAATCAGACTGCCTAGGTTCAGTTCCTGGTTTTGCCATTGACCATGGACAGGTTACTTACCCTCTCTGTGCTTCAGTTTCCTCATTGTAAAATGAGAATAATTTCTAGTTGTTGAGATAATCCAAATAGAGTATTTAGGACAGTATCTGGAGCTGGAGCTAGTATATACTAGTGGCAATTATTGTTGTAATAATGAATGCCTAACATAGGATTGTCCCCATTTTACAGATGAGAGGATTAAGGCCCAGAATGACAACTGACTAGAGGCAGCACCAGGGTCTGAAACCAGGCAATTGGACTTTGGAGCCAGTGCTCTTTATCACTGTGTTGTTTAAACCTCCCTGGTCCTTGGTTTCCTTGGCCACAAAAATGTGGGACATAATAGTGCCTGCACTGCCAGCTTATTGCTGCCTCCTTTTTACTGTGGGTGCCACAGGGAACTCAGACTTGGGGGTGCTGGGAACAGGCAGAGATCTCATTCCTGCTGGCCCTGTACAGGGGGCATCCCTGTGGGCAGTGCCCTTCCAAGCCTGGGCAGATGGATGATGGGTGGCAGTCTGGCCTGGGTGGGGAGGCTGCCAGTCTCTGTGGAGGCCGTCTATGCATTGCCTGAGGTTCTGACAGGTTGGGAACAACCCTCAGGGTATAACTGGAGCTCTGTTCCTCAAGGAACTGGGACAGTCTCATTTCCTGAGCATCTGCTAGGAGCTGGCCCCATGCCCTCAGCAGTCATCGATTTGTGGAGGCTGGGGTGTAACCCGTCCCTTTGGGGCCCAGATTCCTGTCCCTTCAGGTGTGAACTTCCAGAGTTGGCTCTAGAGGCTGGGGTCAGGGAGGAGGGCACCTGGAAGGGGCCAAGGCCCTTTGGATCAGGCCGCAAGCAGGAAAAGAAGGCTGAACCAGCCAGGGAGGAGGAGGCCGACGGCCAGCTCCTGGGGCAGAGGGAAGCTCTGTCAGCCCCACACAGATTCACAACCCATTATAAACACTGTAATCTGGTGTCAGCCCCGGCGCTGATTAAAGGCCCATTAGACACGCTCAGGCCTCTGCACAGCACTGATTAGGATTGTGCTGCACAGGGGCGGCCTGGAAGCCCGCCATGGGGACAACAGCTGGTGCAGGCTCTCCTGAGGTTGTGGCTGTGTGGCCATGGCCCCCAGCCTCAGGCTAGGAAGCAGGGTGGGGCATGGGACACATTTTTAGGGTCTGGCCTTTTGTGCCCAAGCTGTCTGCTACTCCATGGCATCATTTTCAGAAAGCACCTGCTGAGGACTGTGCACTTGGGATAATGAGGGGAGGAGGTACTGCTGGCTGTGGGGGTCGGAGGAAGCCTGTACCATCCCTGAATACGGCTGAAGGTTATTTGGACCTGGGTAAAACCCTTTTCTCTTAGGAGAGGTCTTTTCTCCCCCTTCTCCTTGGTTCCACATCATCACCCAGTTGTCAGCTAGCTGTCCTCCCTCAAGCATAGATTGGGGGTCAAGAGCATGGACTTTGGTTAGACTTTCTGGGCTTAAATCCCAGCTCTGTAACTACCTGAGTGAATTGAGACAGGTAGTTAAGTGCTTAATTTCATTGCTTATAAAGTGGAGCTAATAGTACTGCTTACCTCCTAGGGTTGTTTGAGGATTTAATGCAATGCAGTGAGGACAGTGCCTGGCACGTAGTAAGTGCTCAATAAGCATTAGGTATTTCTGGGCATCTGTGATAGCTGGCACAGGAGAGGAGTATTCAGGTCCTGGGTAGGAGGCTGGAACAAGATCTGTGGAAAGACTGGAACAAGACCTGGCCTGGAAATCCAGTGAGATGATTTTAAGTCTTGACTCTGTCATTACTAGCTATGTAGCCTTGGGTTTAACTTCTCTGAGCATCAGTTTCTTCATCTATACTACAATAGGGGAAATACTACTACCCACCTCTTAGGGTTGTTATGAGGATAATGCATGTAAAGTGTTCATAGCACAAAGGCTGGCATGTGTAAGTGCAAAATAAATGGCAGCAATTAATATTTGTAAATATACTTATTATATTATGGTGTCCCTCCCAAGAGTAGCATGTTTCCTGGACCTTAGTACAGAGAGGGTGGCCAAGGCTCTCTTCTGGGTGGTATTGAGCCTTCTTGGGGTTCTGGGTGACTGTTTCATCCCCCCTGTATCCCCAGGCATTGTGGAGGACTACAGGCCACCCTTCTATGATGTGGTGCCCAATGATCCCAGCTTTGAGGACATGAAGAAGGTGGTGTGTGTTGACCAGCAGACCCCCACCATCCCCAACCGGTTGGCTGCAGATCCGGTGAGGCCTCTCGGGGAGGCAGGATGGTGTGGGGTAGCGGGTCCCAGCTGGGATTTCTGGGCCTGGGAACTTGTGTCTGACACCTCAACTTCACTGGAGAGCTTCTGGGGGATAGATTCCAAGGTACCTCCCTGGGTACTCCCTCCCACATCCCTGACCTGTGGATGCTGTGGGGGCCTTCTGGTTGTTAGGAGATTTTCTGAACCCCTCACCTTGCCTGAAAAGTCAGAGGCTCTCTGCTGCATTTATTACTATGAAGTTTCTGATGATTGTTTTTGTTGTTTTCCTAAATGCTCCACATACTTATACAAGACACACACACGTATATAAACACATACAGGCATGCACATACTTCCATATAAACATCATACATACACAGATACCTCCCCGTGCACATATATGCCAGACTGTTGGCCCCATGAAGACAAACAGCCTGTCTCCTTTGCTGGCCCTTATATCCATTACGCATCACAATGCCTGGCACACAATAGGTGCCTGAAAGAATGAATAACTGTACATATATATATATATATATANTTTGGGCTGGTCAGGACTCAGCACCCGTCTGTACTTCTCATTATGGTAGGCCCAGGTGAAAACAAGACAGACACAATTCCACTCCACCACGTTCCCAGGGTCAGATCAGAGGTGGATTCTGTAAAGGCTGCCAGGCCCTCTCTCCCCCATTCCTGGGCCTGGGAAGCTTGAAGTGTCAAGAGCAAAGCCCACATGCTCCCTTCGGCCCCCAGTGTCTCCAAGTCCTGGCATTGATGTTTAGCCCAGTCTGTTCCTTCTCCAGTAGAAGAGGAGGTCCCCAGGTGGGAGTGAGAGTCCCTGCCTTCTGCCATTCACCCAGCGGGGCCCCACACAGTGAAAGGAAAGCACCAGTTTTAGTGTTGTGTAAGGCATGTTTCTCAGAGTGTGTTTCCCACACACACTGATCAGAATTACCTGAGAAACTTTTAAAAATGCATGTTTCTTGATGATCCCAGATGGACTGAATCAGAATTTGGAGTGGGGATGAGACCAGAGAATATTTAGGCTAATGAAGCACATCAGGTAATTCTGGTGCATAATAAAGTAGGGAAGAGGTTGCACTGGGGCACAGTCAGAAGTGGAAGCCTGGCTAGAGGATCCTAGAAGGATGCCAAGTTTGCTCCTTGGTATCCACTTTTTCCTTCCTGCCCCATACTCTCTCTTTAGCTGCTTTCTGAGAAAGCGAGGCTTCCCAGGATGGCTTCCCACCCCTACCCCTGTGGGCAGACTCAGCTTGTCTGGGGCTCCCTCTGCAGCCATCAGTCCCACTGCAGAGTGCTTGCCAGAGTCCTCACTGCCTGCCGGGAGGGGCAAGAGGCAGGAGGTCAGGCAGAGGCTGGGGACACAGCTGCAGCAGCCCAGGGCTCCGTTTCCTCCCCCAGCCCTGGGCCTCTGGGGCAGAGGAAACCCTGCAGGAAGGCCAGAGCTGCCACCAGGCAGAGAGGCCCGTGAAACCCCCCCCACCCCAGCCCCAGCCATCCTGCCCTCAGAGCCTCAGCATCACAGATCTTCATTTAGATCATGGGCCCTCTGCAGCCTATGTGGTCCTGTGCCCAGCCTACCAGACTCATGTGTCATGCCAGAAGACACTCTTCCCTAATGTTAGCGGCCTCTGCCTGGGATCCCACCCCCAGGCACACACCTGCATGCTCCCTCCCCACCATTCAGAAAGTCCTTCTTGCTGTCTGACCTCTGTCCTTCTTGCTGGAGCCCCAGCACTTATCTCCCTGTTTTAAGCCTTTGAGAAATGAACAGGAGGGTGGCTTCTGAAGCAGTAGCTGGGTTGGGAGCTGGGCTGGGGACTGTTGTAGATTAGAATTACTGCCCTAATGCTCTCCACCAAACTTCTGGAGAAGTCCAACCTTAGTCACTGAAGGTCAAACATTCAGGGTCCAAGTATGTTTCACTTCCCCTCCCACATCACTGGCTCTGCCCCCACCCTTTCCTAGGACAGCAAGGAGAGAGAAGAGGGCCAAAGATTGGCTCAGAGGGGGCATCTTACACTCTGGTGAGATTGCAGAGAGGTCCCTTCACCCCTGGCATGACCCAGCACTGTCCAAGCTTTGCATGGTTGTTACAACCCTGAGAGCTCAGACATGGGCTGCCACCCAGGTCGGGGACACAGAGTGGAAAAAGCACTGGACTGGGAGTCTGGACACCTGGGGTGTACTCACAGTAGTGCTACTAATCCTGTTTGACTTTGGACAAGTCTTCTCCCCTGTCTGAGCCTTAATCCCCATCTTCTCTAAAATAAGGAGTTGGGCTTTGTAATTCACAAGGTATCCCTCTAGGATTCTGTCATGGGCGTGTCCTAGCCCCTGGTGGCTCCTGCAGACCCCACAGCCTCTCCAGCCAGCCCTGGGAATATGCCCTGAACTGCCTGCCATGCGTGACTCCTGCCTGTTCTATCCAGACCCCAATCTAAACAATCTTGATTCCTGTTACTAGCTTGGCGGGACCCTGAATGGCAGGAAGTAAAGACAGGAGCCTGTTTATGTTTGAGGCAGCCAGGGCTGGGGTGGCGGGGAGGTGGGGGGAGACAGGACAACACACTGGGAAAGGGGTGGGCAGGGGTGGAGGCAGGGAGAAGCCAGGCCACAAGACGGAAGGGTGTGGGGGCTGCAGAAGAGATGCTTCTTCCACCCCAGCGCCATGCTCTCTGGTGCTCCAGTCTGAACTCCCAGCAGGGGTGCAGAGCTGGGAGTCCCCCAAGCTCTCAGCCACTTAAACATGTCTCCTCACCCTCTTTGGTTTCCATGGGGAAGTGAACCAGGACTTCCCCTGCAGGCCCCGCCCCAAGGCCAGATGCAGGGAGTAGGGAGGAGGCCTCCCTTCCCACCCCCAAAAAACTCCCAGTGATTTCCTCTGCATGGGAGGGATCCACAGTCAGTGGCTGCAAACACTGTGGGGATCACATTTCACAGGTCTTACTGCACACCCCCTCCTTTACAGGGACCATGACCTTGGACCCCCCCAAGAGCAGCCTTCTGATGCTACTGATGGCCTTGGGCCTGACCCAGGGTGAGTACTGGGGGAGCAGGTAAGGAACAGGAGCCTGGGCAGAGGAAGGGCTATCTGAGCTCAGCTGTCTGGAGCTGCATTTGAGGAGAAGGGGATACTTAGGAGCTTGGCTGAAGGGTGGGAGACAGGCTCAACTAGACTCAGCCCCCAGCTACCCCACCCTCCGTTGCTATCCTCTTGATCCAGATCCACAGGCTGGTGCTCTGTAAGGCTCCACGGAGCGAACCTCTAACTAGGGGTGCAGAGAGTGGGGGTGATGGCCCGGAGGGCCCAGGAAGAAGCCTCAGGGTTGGAGCTGGAACTAGGAGGGGAGGTCCTAGGCTGGGGAAGGGGACAGAAGCCTGGTTCTCAGTGTCAGCTGCCCCTGGTGGTGCTAAGGCACTAGAGGGAAGGATAATCTGAGGATGGGACTAAGGGCCAAGGCCCTTTAGTTTGAGAGGTCAGAAGGAAGGGGGCAGTGGGACAGACATGGATGTTGGGCTCAGCCTGGGGAGTTGGGCCCAGAGTGGCTGAGCTTCCAGTGTGTCTCTCAGGTGACCCTGTGAAGCCCTCTCGGGGCCCCCTGGTGACCTGCACGTGTGAGAACCCACACTGCAGGGGGCCTACCTGCCAGGGGGCCTGGTGCACAGTAGTGCTGGTGCGGGAGGAAGGCCAACAACCCCAGGAGCACCGAGGCTGCGGGAACCTGCACCAGGAGCTCTGCAGGGGGCGCCCCACTGAGTTCGTCAACCACTACTGCTGCTACAGCCCCCTCTGCAACCACAACGTGTCCCTGTGGCTGGAGGGTATGTCTGCTGCCCCAGCAGCCCCGCCCCATCTTCTCAGGCCCTGCCCAGCACCTCCCCCACCCCACCGGCACCCGCCCCCCCATCCCCCCACCGTTCTGCTTTTCTCTCCCGCTCTGGCCAGAGGGTAGGGGAAGCAGGACACTGGGATCTGACCGGCAGAGTGGCAAGGTGGGGGTATCTGGCCTGGTGGAAACTGGGCCTCAGGGTCCCCCCTCTGCCAGCCACCCGAACTCCTCCGGAGCAGCAGCAAGTAGATGGCCAGCTGCCTCTGATCCTGGGCCCTGTGCTGGCCTTGCTGGTCCTCATGGCCCTGGGGGCCCTGGGCCTGTGGCACATCCGGCGGAGACAGGAGAAGCAGCGTGGCCTGCACAGCGAGCTGGGAGACTCCAGCCTCATCCTGAAGGCATCTGAGCAGGGGGACAGCATGTTAGGGGTATGGGCTTGGGAGAACCTGGGACACTGGGTTGGGGGGGATATAGGAACTGCAGAATCAGGGGGTGCACAGTGACAGGTAGCCAAGAAAGGCACAATTACAGACACTGAGAGATTCAGGCATGTGGGGGCCTGGGCCAGTGAGGACCAGGCAGAGACACAGCAGTAGGGCCCAGGTTGAAGAGGGAGAAAAGGGCTGGTGTGGGTGGGGGCAGCCTCTCAGCAGCCTCTCGGTACCCCCAGGACCTCCTGGACAGCGACTGCACCACAGGCAGTGGCTCGGGGCTCCCTTTCCTGGTGCAGAGGACAGTGGCACGCCAGGTTGCCTTGGTGGAATGTGTGGGTGAGCAGTGGGGGACCCAAGGGATGAGGACCAAGGGCTTGCATGAGCTCTCTTGGGGGAGGGAGCTCTTGGCTTCCGGAGTACAGGCAGAGCCACCCCTGGGTCAGAAATGGGATTCTTCTGGGCAGGGGGTGCGCTGGGGTGGGTCAGGACTAGATCCTTCTGCAGGAGCTGGAGTAGAACAAGAGGCAAATGGGGGTGGCCTGCCAGCTGGCTTTGGATCTGAATTGAGTTGTCCATAAGCCCCAAAGGTTCTGCAGATGTGGTCAATACAGCATCAAGACTGGGGGCTCTTCTGGGGAATAGTGTGCCCAGGGACTCTGTGTGCCCAGTATGTGACCCTCTCCCTCCCCTCTGGCCACTGGATCAGGAAAGGGTCGCTATGGTGAGGTGTGGAGGGGCCTGTGGCATGGTGAGAGTGTGGCCGTCAAGATCTTCTCCTCAAGGGATGAGCAGTCCTGGTTCCGGGAGACTGAGATCTACAACACAGTGTTGCTCAGACATGACAACATCCTAGGCAAGCTGGGGGTGCTATACCAGGTCCAGAGCTCCTACTCCTCCCCACCCCCGACTAAGGGCTGGAGGCCCCAGGCTGCTGACAGTGACTTAGTGCTGAAGAACTCCCAGCCAGCCCTCAGCCCTGATCTCTGACTCTGACTTGCTGTCTGAACTAAGCCAATTCAGCCTCTAACCCAGCCCCAGCTTTGCCCATATCCTGTCCATCC